GCCCCGGGCCCACGGCGGGGCCAGAGCCCCTGAGCCTGCCCGGGATCCTGCACTTTATCCAGCACGAGTGGGCGCGCTTCGAAGCCGAGAAAGCCCGCTGGGAGGCCGAGCGCGCCGAGTTGCAGGTAAGCGCCGCCCCAGGACCCCCAACCCCCAACCCGGCCCGGCCCGGCCTCACCCGCCGCTCCCGTCGCCGCCATCTTGGAGCAATGGCCGCCGGGACGGCCGGGGGGGCGGGAGGGGACCGCGACTGGCTCGCTGAGGGAGTGAGGGGACGTCTGAGGGGGGTCCTGAGGGTACCCGGGGGCGGGAGGAGGCTAGGACCGGCTCGAGGTGGGTGTAGGGGAGACCCTGGGGCTGGAGGGACTGACCGAGACCGGCAGAGAGACGAGGGCGGGAGGAGACCTGAACCGGCCAGGAGTGGGATTGAGCTGCCCGGCCTAGGGGTTCCTGAGGGGAGGGGACTCGGGGCGGGAGGAGAACCTAAGAGAACTCAGAGGAAGACGATGAGAGGCGTTTGAGGTGTCTGAGAGAGATCTGAGTGGTTTTGTATGGAAGTGAGCAAAGCTTGCAGGCAGCCGCGGGGGTGCCAAGGGACTCCCACCCCCTCCCCGACCAGCTGAGGGGGGGAGATGGAGCCTGATGGGCTTCGGTGGGAGAGAGGGGGCGTCTGCAGGGACTTGGGACCCGCTGAGAACGAGTCCGAGCGGGGAACCGGGATGATAGGGAGGGTGTCAGGAGCCTGGGATGGGGCGTGTTTGGGAGCGTTTGGACGGGGGAACTTCCAGATGTTTGTGTGAGGACTGTGGCGGTGAGATGCGGATCCAAGGGGTCCAGGATGAAGGTGTGTGCCTTCCCTTGTAGGGAGGAAACTTTGGGGAGTCCTGGCATGTATGGTCACAGTGTTTGAGTAAGGGGTCCCTTGGATGGAGATGTGGACAGGGCAGAGGATGTCCCCTAGGAACCTGTGTGGAAGAGCTTGAGAGGGAAACTCCAGTTTGGGGGTGTGGAGGAGCAGGGGGCTGGCCCTGAGATGGGAGATGTGTGGAGGGTGTCAGAGAATCTTGAGCTGGAAAAGTGGGAGGTCAGGCATGACCATCGTGGAGAGGAGAGGACCTGGGATGGGGGCAATGAGAAAGAATCTGGGGAGGACGCTGGGTGATGGAGGGGGAGGAGGCATCTCAGAAGGACCTTGGGGGAGATGTGTTTGTGGAGTAGCTTGGGAGAGGGATGTGCCGTGGGATGATGGCTGGAAGAGGCTGGGGAGTTGGGCTGGGTTTTTGACCTTGAGGAGTGTGGGTCCGTTTGCGGAGAGTGCCTGGTAGATCCTTGGTATCAGAGATGTGAGGATCTGAAGGGGTCCAGGGACGCCATGAGGTGCCTGAGGGTTCCTGGGCTGGTGTATTAGTGGTAGAGGTTGTCATTACCTGCTTCTAGCAGCCCATCTTTCCCCATCTGATTTGTTGTTTCCTATCTAGCTGAGGGGGAGACCTAAATAAATAACTGATTAAAATTTTATCCATAGTGTAAATAAAGAGAGGCTTTTGTCCTCCAAATTCAAGGTATCTGAGCGCATCCCACAGTTCTCCCCCCGTCACTGGGGATCTTAGCTGTGTGGTAGTGGAGACTCAGGGCTGGGCTGGAGGAAGAATCCTTATATAAGTGCCCCCCACTTTTGTGTTCATTTCTGTACTTTCCAAGTTCTTTCCCACTTTATATGTCATTGAATCCTCTCAACACCCCATGAGGTAGGCAGGACCATCATTATTACCCTCACTCAGCAATAATGATAAAACCAAAAAACCCAAACCCATTGCGAGAGAGTTGATTCCAACTCATAGCGACCCTGTAGGACAGAGTAGAACTGCCCCATGGGGTTTCCAAGGCTATAATCTTTATGGAAGCAGACTGCTGTGTCTTTCTCCTGCAGAGCGGCTGGTAGGTTCAAACTGCTGACCTCTCAGTTAGCAGCTGAGCACTTAACCACTGTGCCACCAGGGCTCCTTCAGTAATGGTAGCAGCTGCCATTTATTGAGTACTTATTATGTGTGAGGCACTGTATTAAGTACTTTAAGTACACACTGTTGTTTAATCCTTGCAACATTCTGGGAGGGTGAGTGATTTTTAGCTCCTCCCCCCCATAAAAAAAATCAGAAGAGAAAACGACTTGAAGAAGGTAAATAATTTATCTAGGACACAGCCGGTAAGTGGCAGAGCTGGCCTTTGGGCTTTCAACCCATGTTCTGTACCTCTGCCACCCAGTACAGATGAGAAAACTGGCCCAGGGAAGCTCTGTGGCCTCCCAGAGTCACCCTAATAGTCAAAGTAGAGCTTGGGCTGAATCCTGGTCTCTTGGGCCCCCTGCCTGTGCACCCGACGGCACCCACCACACCATCTTCTCGTCTTTGAGACTAATGAGTGTAAAGAGATATGTGTATTCCCTCACTTGGTGACTGTTCTTGACATTTGAGAGGAACTTGTGGGTGGCACCCAGGAAAGCTGTCCCCCATCACTTACTTTGTACTTTTGTTCTGTTAACCAGTTGCTATGGAGTCCAACTCATGGAGACCCCATGTGTGTCAGAGTAGAATTGTACTCCATAGGGTTTTCAGTGGCTGATTTTTCAGAAGTAGATCGTCAGGCCTTTCTTCTGAGGTGCCTCTGAGTGGACTCAAACCTGCAACCTTTCGGTTAGCAGCTGAGTGTGGTAACAGTTTGCTCCCCGAAACACTCCTTTAGATCTATTGCACACTAGTAAAAAAATTAAACATCTCACAAGTGTACATATGAGTGAAGAGGGAAGTCGTGCCCCCTCCTTCCTTCATCCCGTCCCTACTCTTCCCTCCAGCTCTCCTCCCTGTTATTTCTATGAAAGGAGTTCAGTTGTGTGTGTGTATGTGTTTAATATATGAAATCATATTATCTGTATCATTTTGTGATTTTTCTCACTTAATAACGTGTTGTGTTCCTTTCCTGTCTGCACAGCTCTTTCTCATTGTCTTTAATAACTACACAGTGTCCCATTGTATGTTTGTCCCACCACTTATTTAAGTTGATTCCTGTTCATGGGCTTTTAGGTTGTTTACAATTTTCCACCCTTGGAAATGGCTGCAGTGACTATCCTTGTGTTCCTGTGTGAGTATAAAGTAGACTGGACGGGAGGAAGAGCAGAATAGATGTGCTGGTGAAGTGTGGATTGGCTCTGCCAAGTTTCCCCCTCCAGCTTTCACTGTCTGCAGCACCACTTTTTACACACCTTTACTAGAGCACTTATCACCTACATAAAGTGGGCCTGCTTGAGAGCCTTTAGGGCCCGGACTGTGTCAGGTATTTCTGATTGACTGTGAATAACTTTTCTCTGAATAATTGAACATAGCTTCTCCCTGCACAGGGCCTGCCGTGCAGTCAGGGCTCAGTAAGTGTGTGGAACGGCAGAAGAGGCAGCTCCTTGTGAGGTCCTGCCAGGAGGCACCCAAAGTTTGGAGCAGGGAGGTATTGTAGATACGGTTTGGTAATAAGCAGGAATTTGCTAGAAGGGGGGGTTCTGAGAAGTAGACCACGTGGTTTCTGCCCTTCAGAAACTTCCAGGCTAACTGAGGAAGCTGGTTTACACAGGAGAACGATACAAGCTTGTGTACACTCGTGGTCTCGGTTGTGTGGCATTTCTTGGAAGGGATGCTTTTTGAGGATGGAAGGAACCTTCTTTGGGTGAGGAATTTGAACAGGGTGTTTCCTGCAGGAGCAGAGATAGGAGATGCAGTGAACAAGTGTGCCAGCAGAGAAGGTGGAGCTATCTGCCTGCCCACTCCCAGCCCCACGGGGGCTCTGAGGGACCCAGTGGGAACTCATCCTTGCCAGGAGCCCCTGAAGCTTGGGAAGGAGGCATGTAGGAGCTGCAGGGCTGGGCAGAAAGGTTGGCAGCAGGGGGTCGGGGCAGAGGTAGAGAGAGGCCTCTGTCCTCAGGGGACTGAGATGCTGAGGTTCCTCAGGACGTTCTCTAGGTGCTGCTTGGCTGGAGCGAGGGAACAGCCAGAGGAGAGGCGGCAGGATGTGTCAGGACAGCTCTGGGGGTGTGTGTGTGTGTCCTGCCAGTCTGGCCAGAAGGAGTGCTGTGGGCAGATGGGGTATGTTAGAGTACTCCCAGATCCCAGTCTTACCTGCCAGGCCCTGTGGGGGCTCTCCCGGATCAGGCAGGGCTGGGAGACTGGCCACCGACACTTCCCCTTTGGGGGGATCCCACCAGCCTGAGACACTTCAGCCACATCTTTCTGGTTCTCTTTCCTCCCCTCTTGCCAGAAGAGCTGGGGAAGGGACACCAGAGCAGAGTAGGCAGAGCGAGATCCTTGTGTCATAATTAGGAGAAAGGGCATGAGGACTTGGTCTGCTGGCAAGGAGATGACAGGGGAGGCTGACAGAGCGTGAGGGCTAGGTGTGATTCTCCGTTCCACTTTCTTCACCCACAGACAACTGGTCACTGGGTCTTATCAGTGCTGCCTCTTTATTATGGCAAGTCCGCTCACCCCACTGCTCCCATCCTAGTCTGGGCTGCTCTCATTTCTCCCTGGAATTTCTGTAACCAATCTCTCTGCCTTTTGCTTGGCACCCCAGCCATCAGTTCTCCGCATTATAGCTGGAATTGCTGTTGTAACACGCAAATCCAAATACAGTCCTTTACCGAAAGCCCTTCCATGGCTTCCGCTGTCCTCTTAGGATACACTTCCAACTCGTTTACCTCGTCTGTGGGCTTTTGTTGGACTTATGCACGTCACTCATTTTCCTCGCTAACTCTGGTCAGTATGGCTGGACGTGTGAGGGTTCCTTTAGCCTGCCCGGCACACTTTCCTTCCCCGGCCAACTCCTGCCCAGCCCCAGGTCTCAACTGAACTGTCACTTCCTTAGCTCCAGAAGTGGGTGGGTGTCCCTCCTCCTGTAGCATCCTTTGCTACCTCACTGTGGCCTCATCACATTGTGTGTGTCACATAATTTACTACTAACTTCTAGATTTGAGGACTTGTGTCTATAACCAGTGAGTTCCTAGGATATGGATTCTGGCTTCTGATTGTAACAGCTATATCTTATTTCTTTCTAGGATATGCTAGTTGTCACTGATCATGCCTGTCTCCTGCACTGTGGTGGCAGGAACCATGTGTCTCCATTTTTCCGCCAGTGCCTCCCAAAGTACCTGACATTGGCTAGCAGTCTGTTGTGAATTGAATTGTATCTCCCCAAAATATGTGTTGTAAATCCTAACCCCTATACCTGTGGTTATAATCCGATTTGGGAATGGGTTTTTTTTTTTTGTTATGTTAATGAGACAGTATTAGTGTAGGGTGTGTCTTAAGTCAGTCTCGTCTGAGATATAAGAGAGATTGAACAAGCAAGCAGAGATGGGGGAAGATAGATGCCACACCACATGAAGATCACCAAGTGACAGGGACCTTCCCGCAGAGCAGACAGAGCATTCCCCTGGAGCTGGCAGCCTGAGTTCGGACTTCTAGCCTCCTCAACTGTGAGAAAATAAATTTCTGTTTGTGAAAGCCACCCACTTGTGGTATTTTTTATAGCAGCACTAGATCGCTAAGACAGTCACTACGTAGTGTTGAGTGTCTGCTCCCACAGGCAGTACCGGGGCTGGGAAGTAGAAGGATCACTCATGGAGTCCCAGGAGGGCAGGGAGGACAGTAAGGAGGTCACGTGGGGCTTGTGCTTGGTGATCTTTTCTTCTCCACCCCTCTCCCCACCACATAACTGACTCATAAGCAGAGTAGATTTGGGTGACTGAGATCCAAAGGACAGAAATTCAAACTTCAGAGATGTTGACCACGTGTGAGTCCACCTCTCTGTTCTTAGATGTTTATGCTTGTAAATATTGATTTTAGGAGGAGCCCTGGTGCAGTGGTTAAGCACTCAGCTGCTAACCCAAAGGTCAGCAGTTTGAACCCACTAGCCGCTCCTCAGGAGAAAAGACCTGGCGATCTGCTCCCATAAAGATTACAGCGTTAGAAACCCTATGGAGGAGTTCTACTCTGTCCTGTAGGGTTGCTATGAGTCAGAATCGACTCGATGGCAACAGGTTTGGTTTTTTGGCTTAAATACTGATTTGCAATGTAAAATGAAAAGTTAAGAGAAAAAAAAAGTCCCATTATACCAGTGACAGGTGAAGTTTCTTTTCCGTAGCACACCTGACAACATGTATGTATTTCTGTATTGTTTGTCCCACACCCCTACTACAATATAAGTCCCATCCTGTTCAAGGCCATAGCCTCAGCATGCATGGTGGGGGCTTAGTAAATATTTGTGAATAAATAAATGAATGGATGACACTTTTGTTATGCATTAATGCATATACATCCCTTCTTATTTGTTCACAAGGAGACACACTATTCTGAACTTTGCTTTTTTCCACTTAAGAATATATTTTGGCAGTCTTTCTGTTTGGGTATACAGGTAGTCCCCGACTCGAAGGAGTTCTGTTCCCACGACTCTGTCATGAGTCGGTTCTTATATCTAATTTTTTCTCCCATTATTATTGCCTTTTATCATCAATATCTTTAGAAATCTAGTCTTTATTTGTCCTTGGGGGGCATAAGAATCGTAACATCAGTAAATTATGTGCTGCAATACTGTATGTAGTACATATTATTAATGACAAGACGCACAAAAAAAAGGACGATTGTAAGTGTGGTTTGTCATAACTTGAACACGTTGTAAGTTGGTAACTACCTGTGTATGGTTATGTGGTGTTTTAAAAAAGAACTGTCTAGTTTTCCATTCTACAGGGAAAAAATTGGTTTAACCAGCTCTCTGCTTAACTAGTCCCCTAATGGACATTTTAGGAGCCCAGGTGGCACAGTGATTAAGTACTCGGCTTCTAACTCAGCAGAAAGGTTGGTGGTTGGAATTCACCAGCCGTTCCATGGGAGAAAGACCCGACGATCTGCTCCCATAAAGATTATAGCCTTGGAAACCCTATGGGCAGAATTGACACGACGGCAACGGGTAATGGACATTTAGTTGCTTCTAGCTTTCTTGCCATTACAAATAATACTGCAAGGAATATCTTTGTACATACCGGTGGGCGTACCATTGCAAGCATGCCCAGAGAATAAACTCCTAGAGGTGAAACTGCTAGGACAAAAGGAATGTGCATTTAACATTTTTATAGATATTGCCAGATTGCTGTCCGGAAGGTGGCGTCAGTTTATGAGCCCACCAATGGTGTATGGGTATGTGTGTGCCAGTTTCCCCAGCCCCCAGCCACTGCTAGGCTACTCAGCCTGTGTTCAGTTCTCTGCTAACCTGAGAGACAGACCTGGTCCCCGGGGCAGGGCAGGGGTGGTTGTAGGGCTGTGGGCACAGGGCTGTGTTGTGCTCCAGGGAGATGAGGTGGATGGGTCCGGGCCCTGTGAGCCCCGAGGAGAGGGAGAGCAGTGTGGGCGTGCATCTGAGAGGGCTGCCTGGAGGAGACGTCCAGAGCTAGGCTTTGAGAAGGAGCCAAAACCAAACCAAACCCGCTGCTGTCAAGTAGATTCCGACTCATAGAGACCTCTGTAGGACAGAGTAGAACTGCCCCCATAGGGTTTCTGAGGCTGTAACCTTTACCGAAGCAGGCTGCCACATCTTTCTCCCACGGAATGGCTGGTGAGTTTGAACCACCAGCCTTTCAGTTAGCAGCCAAGTGCTTAACCACTGCACCACCAGGGCTCATTTGAGAAGGAGCAGGGGCTGGAAAAGGTGTCTGGGGCCAGACTGGAGGCTTCCGAGAGAGCTGATGAAGTTCTTTAACAGGCATGTTGTGTGTAAGGAGCTTGGCCCCGGGAAGATGCAGCTGCCCGAGGGGGCCAGAGGCCCGTTACCCACAGGCCTCCCTGCCTAACTGGTCTTGGGTCTCACAGGGATCCGGCTCCTCTACAGAACAGGGCCTGTTTCAAAGTTGTAGAAGAATGGACAGGGAGAATATAAATAACACGAGAGATAGGAGCTGGCATTATTAGTCTTTATTCTGTGCCAGGCCTTGGACTGAGAGGAACGTAGCACCTGAGATCCTCATAACAAGCCTAAGGGATAGGAGCTCTCATGAGCCTCATTTCCTAGAGGGGACACGGAGGCCTGATATCATGCAGCCAGGAAGTGGCTGAGCCAGGCCCCTGGGCTGGGAGATGGAGACCTTGGGGAGAAGCCAGGGATGAGCTAGGCGCCAAGGGCTTTGGCAGAAGTATGAGTATGGTCAGGGGCCAGGATCCTGCCTCGAAGACCGTTGGCCCAGTGTCTCCAAACGACCTGTTGACAGACCAGGGCAGACTGGGGCAGCCCAAGCCAGCAGACGATGTGACGTGGTTGACAGGAGCCCTGGGTCCTGTCTGTGGCACGTCTGTCTCACTCCCTGGGCAGACTTCAGCGGGATGATGCTCCCACGGTTGGGGTTGGCGGTAAAGCTTTTGCATTGGAGCGGGAGCTGAGCCAAGCCACCCACTCTTGTCCCTGAGCTCCAGAAGTAACTTCCTACGCCTCCCAGAGACAGATGCTATAGTAGGAATAGCGGGATGTCACCTCCACCAGCAACCTTGGGACCAGCACCTGCCTTGGCGTGAGGGTGGGAGTGAGGAGGGGGAGTTCAGGGCTGTTAATCACTGGGGCTGCCACCTTCATCCCTGACCTGCCTTCTCCCCAAAAGCCAGCAACCACTTTAAATTCAGGGGCTAAGGATTCCTCTCCAGGCCTTTTACTGTGGGTGACATGGCAGGGGCCCTAGAAACAGACCCCAGTGTCCCTCTCACTGCTCCACTGACCCCTGGTGTGAGGAAGTGGCTGCCGCAGGGCCTTGTGGGGGCTGGAGCTGGCTGTGCCTGAGGGAGAGCCTGAGCCCTGCGGCCTCCTGTTCCGTTCTCTCTCCCTCCACTCTCCTTCTTTTCCCCTGCAGGCTCAGGTGGCCTTCCTCCAGGGAGAAAGGAAAGGGCAAGAGAATCTAAAAACAGACCTGGTACGGCGGATCAAGATGCTGGAATATGCGCTGAAGCAGGAAAGGTGAGTCCGCTGGCCCTGGCCCTGCCTTCTGAGGAGTCAGGCCCATACACTGGGGTCGGGAGGCCGTCAGGCCGTGCTCTTCTTGGCACTTTACTCTTCTCGGCTGAGGGAGATTTGGGATCAAGCATTCTTCCCGTCATCCCAGGCCTGTATGGCTTCTAGGGGAGAGGGACAAAATGAAACCTAGTGCCCTGGGCCTTGCGGTTGGTAGGGTTCAGGATAGACACCAGTAACAATACTGGTAATAATGATGGCTCACTGTGTGCCACACACTGCCTAACACTTCCTATTCATTATCTCACTTAGCCCTTCTAGTAGCCTAATGAGATTGGTGTCAGCCCGGTTTCCCATAAGGAACTGAGGCTTCAAGAGGGTGAATGGCTTCCTCAAAGACTCATAGAGCTGGGCTAGAAAGCCAGCCTGCCTGACTCCAAAGAGCAGGTTCTTAACCACAATGCGCTCTATCTCGCCTCCCCCAGCAGGGCTGCTTCCTAGCCAGGTAGGGGAGGAAGGAGGATAGGGAAGGGGTAGGGGGAGTTCAGCCTTGGAGGTAGGAGAGTGGATTAGGCAGAGGCCCTGGGATTTGGGATTCCTGAGGTGAGTCTACTCTCCTGTGTCTCTCATTTGTTAATCATTTGTTCTTTTAGGGCCAAATATCATAAGCTGAAGTTCGGGACAGACCTGAATCAGGGGGAGAAGAGACCAGATCTGTCAGAACAAGGTACCACTCTCTGATGTCCCCAGCTTGTGCACTCCCTCCCCAAAAGCTGAATGCATAGAGACGTGTAAAGGTGGAGGGGTGCTTGCCTCTTTATTTGCTCCCGTAGGAAGCAGAATTGGCCATGGGGGCTGGGGAGGAATCTCATTCCCAATACCCACCCCCTTGGCTGGATTACTTTGTGCCAGGTGCTGTGCTGGGACCCAAGGGGTTGGATCGTGGGGAAGCAGGCCAGGCCTGCCTGCCGTCCCTCTGTGGAAGTCGAGGCAGATAGACAAAAGCAAGCAGATCACAGCACCCTCTGGGAGCAGTGTGAGATAGCGCTGTTTACAGGGCACTGGGAAAGATTTCGCGGAAGAGGCAGCATTTGAACTGAGCTTTTCGGTTATGCATCCAGTCATTCATCAAAACTATATTTATTGGGTGCTGGCTTTGTGTCAGAGATCAGGAACTCAGCAAGATGGACACGGTCCCTGCTGTAAGCGCCGATAGAGCCTCAGCTCCTTGAAAGAGGAATCAGTGCAGCAGCAGAGGAGTTGGGGGGTGGTATTCCAGCTGGAGGAAAGAGTGAGGATAGACATGTGGAGACTTGAGAGCACAGCAGTTTAGGGGGCGGGGCATTGTCCAGTGTGACTGGAACAAATGGTGGAGGTGGCGGGCTGGGCAGAATAGTGGTGGAAGTTTGGCGGAGACAAACTGTAAAGGCCTTAAATGAAGAGCCAATAGCAATTGTTGTTGTTATTGTGAGACTCTCCTGCTAGGCTGTAAGTTCCACAAGGACAGGGGTCTTTGTTTACTATGTAGCGCAGGCACCCAGCCAAATACATTGTAGGTGCTGGATAAAGATTCGCTGAATAAAAGAAATTGAATGAATTACCTAATTTAATCTCACCCCAATCCCAAGAGGTAGTTACTGCTATTATTAACCTCATTTCTCAGAAGAGGAAACTGAGGCTGAGATTGGTTGGTGGGCTCAGATAGGCTCAGACGGGAAGTAGCAGAGCAGGACTCAAACCCAGGTCTGTCCATTCTCTTAGAAGCAGGCCAGCCTTTTGAGTAAGAAAATCACGTACCTAGATCTGAGTTTTAACATGACTAGGGTGTGGGGTATGGTTTGGAGAATGACCAATCAGAAGATGAGAGATGGAGGGGCACTTCAAGGAAGGAGACTCAGAATGGAGGGGAGCAGGGAGGTTTCAAACCACTCAGGAAGTGGACTCCGCAGGACCGCATCACCAATTTGGATCTGAGGGGTGAAGAAGGAGGTGGGGGTGATGGGGAAGTGGTGAGGGCCCTGACTAAGACGACCTGCCTTCTTTCTCTCCCCCGTCAGTCTCCAACGGCCCTGTGGAATCAGTCACCCTGGAGAACAGCCCGCTGGTGTGGAAGGAGGGGCGGCAGCTTCTCCGACAGTGAGTGTGCCCAGGGTTGGAGCCGGGGGGACGGCACGTTTGGCTTGAGAGATAGACCTGAATACTGCACAGTCCTTCCTGTCCTCGTCGGGAACGCTGATGTATCAGGATCTCAGCTGGCCCCAGCTGGAATGGCCCGTCACCCTGTGGGTGGAGCCCTGCTTGGGAAGAGGGAGATGGGGGCCCCTGCCTGAGGGAGGAGAAAGATAGGGGACCCCACTCTTGGAAAGTTATTCTTAGTCCTCTGTAGCATTTTTTAAAGGGGTAATGTTAGAGTACTTTTATTACTAAAGAGATTTATGTATTTTAGAAAACTTGAAAAATACAGGGAAGTGCAGAGAAAAAAAATAAAATCACTCAGTTCCATCACCCAAGGAATTTCATGTTCCCGTAAATATTATGGCACATATGCACTCAGTCTCTTCCGTGACTATATATGTGTGTGTGCACGCTCAGGCTTTATAAAAGCAAGGATTCACTCCTCACAATATTTTGTAAGACATTACTTTTGCTAAGTATCGTGAATGTCTTTCCATATAAATCAGACATGTCATGTGGCTTTTTTTTTTACTGTGGTAAATATATAGGTAACAAAACATTTGCCGTTCTATAATCTTCACACATACCAAAACCAAACCAAGCCCGTTGCTGTTGAGTTGATTCTGACTCTAAGCAACCCTATAGGACAGAGTAGAACTGCTCCATAGGGTTTCCAAGGCTGTAATCTTTACGGAAGCAGACTGCCACATCCTTTTCCTGCAGAGTGACTGTTGGGTTCAAACCGCCAGCCTTTCAGTTAGCAGCCGTGTGCTTAACGACTGAGCTACCAGGGTTCCTTTATTTCACATGTACAGTTAGTGGATGTGTCATGTCATTTTAATGACTGTAGTAGTCTGTCATGTGGATAACCGTAACTTCCTATATCCAGTCCCTTGTGGTGAATTTCATAGAGGGTGTGTTTAACTTTTTAGTATTAGGAACAATGTGACAAACATCGGGAAGCTATTTATGCATATCCTTGACTTCCTTAAGCTAAATTTTTAAGCTACATTTTTAGAAGTGCACTTGCTAGCTTACAGTGTGTGCACTCAACAACAGCAAAATGATAATAGTAACAGGCAACATTTACCTAGTACCTATTATGTGCCCGGCAGCACGCTACACATTTTCTGCACCTTGATTCCTCACAGAAATCCCTGTGAGATGTAACTACTGGCCTTACCCTCATTTTCACAGGTGAAAAAACTGAGGTGCAGTAAAGTTAAGTGTTTGCCTAACGTCACACAGTCAATAAGGGGAGGGTCTGAGATCTCAGAGCCCAAGCCCTTACCCGTAATGCTTCCCTGCCCCTTTCCTGGTAGGGAGATGGGAGTCTCTGGCGCACACAGTGCATGCTGGAGACAAGCAGATGGAGACAGGGCAGTGTAACGTGAGAGAAGCAGTCAGGTGTCCCAGAGGGACAGGTGCTCAGAAAAGTTCCAGTGGAGGAGGCACTGAGGACCAGCAAGGGCCTTTTCACATCTTTTTTTTAAAATTATACTTCAGGTGAAGGTTTACAGAACAAATAGTTTCTCATGAAACAGTAGTACACGTATTGTTTTATGACATTGGTTAACAACCCCACAACATGTCAACCCTCTCCCTTCT